TTCAGAGCCAAAACTAACAAATCTCCAGTACAATAAGAACGAGCCGTTTTACTTTCAGAATGACCCATTCTTACTCTACATATACTTCTTACTTTACCATCCGGAACGGCCCGTTTTGATAACGCCCGTTTTCAGAACGGCCCGTTCCACGTATAAAATTTACGTATTGAACATTCCTATTTTTTTTTAAAAAAAATCAATTTATTACACTACCCTTTTTTATCTTTGAATCACCATATAATATATTATAAAAATAAAAATTTAAAATAACAAGAAATAAAATATGTTACTCACTTGCACTATCCTGGACCACCAAATAAAATATGATGATAGCACTATCCTGGACCACCAGAAGTTATGTTTTGTAAAACCCAATAACACGTTGCAGATATGGAGTATTTTAAGGAGTGTTTGAATTTGATAGCGCCTGGGGGGAGGCGCAATGCCACGTGTCAATGCAAATTAAGATGACGCCTGGGGATCAGCCGTAATATGTATAATATAAATAGCGCCTATGGCCCAGGCGCATTGCCACGTGTCACAACGTCAACAGATGGCGCCTGGGGGGAGGCTCCATCTGAAAAACGCCTCCCCCTGCTCTTTCTTCTCCACGTCACCCACCTGCCACGTCATTCAATAAAAGGCACATGGGGGGGGAGGCCTTTTTTGAAAAACGCCCAGCCCCCCTGCGTTTTCTCATCCACGTGGCCTCCGTCATGTCAAAAATTACGTATTTCGGTAATAAGTTTTTTTTTAATTTATTTTGTGTATTTTTATTTTATTTTTATTTATATAGGCCAAAAAGATAGTAATTGAAGTTATCAATTTTCATTGACAATATTACCAAATCCCGTGTTTGAAATGCTTGGTACCTTAGGTCTTTTTTCTTTCACGATTCACAACCGTAAATTATAATCAGTGACCATTCGTGTGTGGTATTCTGGAACCAGAACGGCTCATTCTGAAACCAGAACAGTCCGTTCTGGTTGCACTCTTAGTATGTTAATTTTGCACCTAGAACGGGCCATTCCGGATGCAAAATTAACACACCAAGAGTGCCTCCAGAACGACCCGTTCTGGTTCCAGGTTTTTTCAAAAAATTTGGCGTCCACGTACGCATCTACGTGGCGTCCACGTACGCATCTACGTGGCATCCACGTGGATGCCACGTGCCCAACAGTTAACTCCGTTTAAATCATTTGAACAGAAGTCTCAAATTGCAATAATTTAAATTATTGGGGACCAAATTAAGGCCAAAAATTAAAGTGGAACTAAATTAAAACAAAAAAAATATTATCAAGGACTAAATAAAGGTTTTAACCTTTAATCTATTAAGAGATAATGAAAACTAGATTAAAGTGCATGATATTGGTCCTCGATACACCAAATCATAATGAAGTCCCTCATTCTTCTTATGTTAAGGGGATTTGGTTGAGAAAGATAATTATATTGATATAATGAACTTCCTTAACCAACATACAAAAACTATATTATTGATTTAATAAACATCCTTAACAAAAATAAATATGTACCAACGTTTACAAATTTTATAAAATTAATAAATTCATTATATAAAATAAATTATAATTAGATAACAGTGTTTAATATTGTTAATATTCCATGAAATTTTTGAAATTGCACATAGTTTCTATTTTTCTAACATTTACAACATTTATTTTTATATACATATGGTGTAATTTTTTTAAAACAATTAAAAGATATTAATATAATATTTAAGGAGTCTAAATTTCATATTTTTTTTAAATAATAAAAAAATTAGTATAAGATAGATAAAAGAAAAACTTCATCTGTAATTTTGCAATACTGCACGAAAGGAGTGTAATATATTATTATATTTAAAGTCATAGCTTCCTCAAAAAGTGAATTTCAATTAAAAAAGGTACCAAGGCATTTTCTTTTACGCTACCCAATATATTCATTAGGAGTACGTGGAAGTTATCTTTTTTTTTTCTTTTCAATATATATATATATATAGAGAGAGAGAGAGTGAAGGGTTATAATAATACCTGTGCAACTTTTATTAAATATTATATCACTAAATAACTTTATATTAAATGTAAATTTTATAAATTTAATCATTAGATTAAAAGTCCTTTACTCTTATATTATATATATACAAAATTTTATATTAATCTAAGATGATTTTATACTTCATTCTTATAAAAACAAAATTGACATAATATATATGTTTCAAAATGTACTAAAATATGAATATTTTGATTACTTTCAAGTTGTTGTTTAATTTTAACAAAATTTGATAAAAACATATAAAGTGATATGAACTTTCAATCTAATAGTTGGATTTATAAAATTCACATTTAATATAAAGTTATTGAACATATAATACTATATATATATTAATTATCTAGGTCCTACATTGTGCGACTTAGATCCATGAGGCTCTTGAATGGGCCCTTTGCGAAGCCTATGAACTAGGGAAACGGAAACTATTTACTATACAAAAATGATTTTTTTTTCCTTAAAAAAATGTCTCATTGTGATTCGCTATATTCTAAAAAAAATATTTAACTTCGAAGGCATACATTATAAAAAAAATATATATATATAAGTTAATTTTAGTTTCGAAACAATTATTCTATTCAAAAAGAGTCCAAAATTTGCATTAGTTCGCATTCTATTCAGGTAATTCATTGATTAATCCGTTCTTAATATTCTTAGAATCTATTTGAATATATAAGTTTAGAAGTATTTAGAGTTTTCTTACTAAAAACAAATTTTTTTATTTTAAATAAAAAACTTTCAACAAAAACTTCTAATTTGTATTTAAAAGTCTTATAAATCTTGCATTTGAGCTGGAAAAACTTCGAGTAGGTCATCAAATATGGGAGCATTACATGACGACGTACAACTGTACAAGTATGTATAAAGTAATAAGTCTCATCTTATGAGTTTATTTTGTTTAATTAATACATGTTGAATTGTTTCGATTTGAGTTTTGAATCACTCACGACTTCAATCTTATTTAACTTTATCTTTCATTTAAGTAATTTAAGTTTGTAACTTGTTAGTCATTGTTAACCTGTAAAATATGGCATTTCAAATTAAAATTAATTAAACAGATAAAGTCAGAGTAAACCATTTAATAAACTATTAAAATTAATAAATTGGGTGATGTCAGATACATTCAAATTCGACATTATTGAAAATTTAAATTAATGTTGGCATTATTTGCGATGACAAAATTTAAAAAAAAGTTAAATTATTAAGTAGGTTTTTGAATTATTTAAATTATAAAACATGTCCCTAAACTTTTTTAAACAAATATTTGATTATGTAATTTTTTTAATTAAGTCTAGAATTTTTAAATCGTTACAAATTATTATTTTCTGATAATTCCATGCTACTAAAAAATTAATCATAAGGACTTATTTTTTTATATATATATATATATATTTTTAGTTAAGAGTCTCAATTATTATTTTTAAGTTTATAAATCTATTTAAAGTTCTAAAATAGTTGATAACCCACTTAGTAATTTAACCTTTTAAAAATGAATGGAAGATGGTGTCAAAAAATTAAAAATTAAGGGAAGACATTAATCTAGTTGTCTAAATTAGCACGCAAGATATGGCACTTCCCTTACCAAAAATACTGTAACATCTATAGAGTCAATTTATGATGTGACATTGCTAACTAACATTTGCTGCTACTAATTAAAGAAAAAAGAAATCAAGATTCTTATAAAATTTCAACTATCCAACTTGTAGAATAATTAATCACGTGATCACATAATTATTTTACGGCATATTTGTTAAACATTTATTTATTTATTTATTTATTTGTTGTTCAAAAGCACTCCATAAAAACTTTTGAATAAATTAATCCAAAGAAACGCTATATATTTATAATCCTCTTTGGTCTGATTTTTCATCTTGGTGTTTCCCCTCCAAAGAGGATCGAATATAGTGGGTTGGAGAGGAACACAAGGACAATAATTTCTTCAAAAAACCGTTTCCCATATATGCCCTTTTTTAAAATTAAAAAAAAAACAAAAATAGAATCAAATCATACTAACACAGAAGAATAAAATAATGAAATATTTGATTTTCTTCCATTTTGTTTACCATATGAGAGTGTAGTGAGAATTTGATGTCACGTGCATGTGCATGTGCATGTGCATATCTTAATGGATGACCTTATCTTGTGTGTGGTAGTGCATGCCAACTGCCAAGTATGAATAAATTAAGAGCACTCCCACATGCTTATACTGACAGAATACGATACCCAGTGGAACAAAATTCACGTCCTTCTTGTTTTAAAGAAATATTCAAAGGTTAAAATGCCAAGAGGAAAATGGGAAACAAGTGGAAAGTCAAGCAAATGCACAGCCAAAGTCTTCACCATTGTAAAATCAAAATCACATAACCCTTGTGTGTGATCATTTACTTAAAAGTTGTATGGTTGTTTTTTAGTTCTACTTCTATCCTAATCTTTTGGTAGAAAATAGAAATGGAAAAATATCATTCACAAATGACAAAATGTTTAGGTGTTAGGACTTAAGAACAAAAGGTTTATCTTTATCTCCACTTCTACATTCTTTTTGTAACAAGAATAAGACAAATGCTAATGTTCCAAATTTATTAATAATCACAAATTACTTCTTATAGAATGAATATAATTCTTAATTGTGATGTATTTAATAAATTTTAGAGTAAATTATATAAATATCTTTTGAAGTTTTTTTAAAATTGTTCAAACATCTCCTATTTTTTCTATTCCTAAAATAACCCATTTTAATTGTTAGAAAAATATAGTACTAAAACTCTTTAACTTTCTAAAAAATTACATTAATTTCCTTAATTATTCAAAATAATATTACTGTGATCTCCTATAAAAGGTTAGTGTAATTTCATGAAATTTCAAAACATGTGAATGTAATTTTAACCATTAATAAAAGGTTAAATACTTCTTACTCTATGAAAGGGCAAGGGCAATGCAAATAAATGGGTCCAAGGAAGGGAAGGACAAAATGAAAGTGGCTATTAAGTAATATAAATGTGCCTATAATGAATGACAGCACTAATGTCTCCCCTTAATAGTATCTCTGTTTCCAAATAGTTTGTTCCTAAACTTTGAAGTTTGATTTACATAAAAATATATGGCAAACAAGCAAGCACAAGCACTACATGTCACTAGAAATGGAAGAAGGGTAAACAGCCATCCTCATCTCCATGACTTTTTTGTGTGAATTTGAGTGCAAATAGCTCACAAAAGTAGGACTCTTGGCTGGTCTATACTCTGGTAGCAACCTCCCAGACTTGTACCTAACTCCACATGCATTGCACAGTGTCTTTGGCCCTAATGGCCCTGCCCTCCACTGTGGGGTCCTCTGAGCCAAGCAATGGGTGCACCTCCTTGCCACAGGCTGCTGCAGCTGTTGTTGTTGACCATTGCAAGACTCAAACTCAGACTCAAACTCAGACTCACCAAACCTTTCCTTGCTCACAATCTTCTCCACCACCACCACTTCCTCTTTTGTCTCCTCCTTTGGCTTAGGCATCATGAGTTCACTGTCAGCCAACCAATAAGCCTGTTTCAGTAGAGGAGGGTCAGAACTCAAGGCTTCATTTTGGGGGTTCAAATGGTGTGACCACATGCTCAAAGGGTCCTTGGTTCTTGGGGCTGAAAGCCTCTTCCTTTTGCTCCTCGCCTTCCCTGGCACAGTAAAATTTTGCAAAGGAGAATCATTTTGTTGGGGCCTCTTCAATGTGCCTGAAGGGTTGGTGCTGCTTGTGGTTGTGGTTTTAACACTAGCAGGCACAAAAACACAACTTGGGGGGCTTGAAAAGCAGTCCTCAACAAACACTGAAAGCCACTCCAACTCAACATCCACTTCCTACACATGTTTGGTCAAACAAGCCAAAGTTTAGCAGGAACAATAAAACAACAAAAAAGAACTCTATAAACACTTATATACATTATACACCACCAAGCATAGGATAAGTAGTACAACATTAAAGCCACAAACTTAATAAAAATATCTATTCTATTGAAAATAAAGAGTTGCTTTTCTCTCACTGTGTACAAAAATTCTAAAAACTCTAAACTTGTATATAAACAAGTTACCGAAACAAAAATGACTACTTTCTCAAACCAAGGAAGAAAATAAGACAGAAGAACTTCCAAAGAACTAGGAGGGTCAAGGGAATTAAGCTAGAACAGTACCAAAAGCAGAAAAAAAAAGAAAAAAGGTGAAAAATGAAGAAAGCAACATCACTGACCGTGTTCTGAGCAGAGAAGAGGTCATCAAGGCTGCTTGAGCAAGAAGGAGCAAGGACATGCTCTTGTTGGCACTCACCGGAAACTGATACATTTTGGCACATATCCATGTTCATAAGGTTAAAACTTAAGAGCGTGTGTGATAGGGGAAATGAAAGGGAAGAAAGAAAAAGAGATGGAGAGAGAGCCAAAATTGGTGTTGCAAGATAGAACTCAACCTTTGTCTCAGAGCACCCTTATTAATATTGCTATTGCCCTTGGTTTTTTGTCGGCAGATAAAAGGTTAAAAAGCAAAAAAGAAAACAAATCAAATTTATCAGTGAGAAAGCTACCATAACATCACTATCTCATGCAGACACACACCAATCACCAACCCTCATCTACATTAACCTTGTTTACCCTAAAGCATCATTTATTTATTTACACATAACGTTACATGGTACTTACCTTCTTTATTTTCCTCCTGTTCTTCCCTCGCTTTATTTCTGCTTTTGGCTTATAAATAGAATAAACTATAATTTTTTCTGCCTTAAGCAAAATAAAGTTATTAATTTCCTTTTGAGAATCTGGCCTTGTTTGGAGGGTAAAATATTAATAGTGCAGCTAGCTTTGCAGACAGAAGTAACTATTAGATGCCCTGCTTTCACTTTTGCTTTGGTTAACATCTCAAAAGATGCATTGGAAGAGTCCAAGAGGCCAGGGCACAGACTGCTTCTGCCAGTTTCAGATTCATTTAAAATGTTTAAACATTCAGATTCTTCCAAAATCTTTTAACTTTTGCCAATTTTGAGTCACTTCAACATTGTGGTCCTATATATGACGGGGAGGGAAGGTAAAGTTCATCAATACGCACACTACTTAACATACACTTAAGCTTCAACTTACAATTTAATCATACATAGATTTTATTTTCCAATGTATTTGAAAAGGAATACCCATTTTGTTTATATGTATGACTTTCACAAAGATTAATCATTATATTTGAATTTCATGTCGGTATTATGAATTTGTGATTATCCTAAAGTTAGAAAAAAAGTTGTGTCGTTCTAGTGGACTCAGATTTCTTAAATGCTGAATGTGGCATCTAAATATAGGTGGTTCTAGATAAACATATTGGTTTTATGGGATACGCGTTAAATTTAAGTGTTACGGTTGGTCACGTGCTTCTTATGTACGCACTGCTATTGTTAAATTTTGACTAAAAAAGAGAAAATGCATTTATACAAAAATATTGTGCAACAAATTAAAAGAGAAATAATAATGTGATAAGATGACTAATATTATAGAAAAATATGAATAATAATATAACTTTTAAAATTACACTTTTTGACCTATTTTAACATAATATTACGGATTTGTACCGAAAATCATAAAAGTAAGGACAGATGACAATTTAGCATGATATATTTATTATCCTGATTGTATTTTACTTTGGATACATAAATTTCATTTTTTTTAAATAAATAAATTGTGACAAAAGTGCAAAAATGTATTTTTATTTATCAAATTTAACGGTGATAATATGCTTGTAGGCATAATAGTATTACTTCCATTATACTTATATATAAGTAAAAATAACTAATTTTATATAAATTAAGAAGGTTTATTAAAAATATTTATTTTTTTATAATTTAACAAAATATATATTATATTTTTATAAATATATTTAACCATATTTATGATAGATAGTGTTTTATTTATTATCATAAAAGTAATTTTAGATTAAGAACATTAAATAAAAAGTTGATTTGATTGAAATTTTTTTTATATTTTAGTTAAAATGTTTTAAGTATTTTTTTATATATTTATATATAGGTATAGAAGGAGTATCAAGTATGATCATGTGTGGATAATTTCTTTTTCTTTTTATTGTCGATTCCTATGTTGTTTATCTCAAGAAATTAATTTACTATATTTCTATAGTTAAAAGTTGAAAACTATACTTATTTATTATTAGAGATTAAATGTATGTTTGTTTTAACGTTTCCAATAGTTAAACTTATGTTTAATTCGATCTTTCCATACTCATGTTTTTTCATTTGAATGTATAAAATGTGTATGGATGAGCACTCAATACACCCTAACTGTCCATGTTCTAGCAAAAAATAAGTAGTGTTTTATTCATAATTCTCAGGATTGTGTATCTCTTTTATCTATATGGAATTCTTTAATTTCCTTTTTAACCAATTTGAAGGAGTATGTTGTAAATTAAGTTTGAAATGCTTATATTAAACCAAATTAAATTAGAGTAACTTTCTTAAACTAAAATATTTTTAGAGAATATTTTTGAATGAGTATTTTTAAAAGTTTTTTCAAAGAAGGTGTCTTTAAGAAAACTTCCTAATCTTTTATCTCTTTTAATTTATTTTGTTCATATTTATTAAATTAAATTTTAATTTTTTATAAAGTTATCAATAATTAAAACTAACTTTATATCACAACATAAATTATTTACCACAAATTTAAAATATAATTTTGTGTTCAAAAATATTTTTTATTATAAATTTTAATTTTATAAAATAAGCATTCATTACACATGCTAAAATCCTATTTATAAATAACTAAAAACTGACTACAAAGTAAATAAAAAGAAATCTCAAGGTTGCCTCACATTTGATCATTTCAAATTTATCTTAATGGTAGAAGTTGAAGTGGGTATAATGATGTAAAAGGTTTTAAATTCTAACTCTCTTTGTGATAATTTCTAAACAAAAAAAAAATACTATTTACAAACTCGTGAATAACTACATGTTTGAATTTGATCACTAAAACCACTGTCGAAAGCCCAATACATTATGGTTTCTGATTTATTGCTCGACAACTAAAGAATTGAAACAAAACGAAAATCCACCACCCATATGTGCATGATGAATTGTAGTGGGCCCGAAGTTGGATGAGTAATTAATTGAAATGAATGATCTTGAAAGAAGCAGCTTGAAACAGAACATAGAGAGTTACATAACGAACTGCATATGAATAATTTCAGTAGTTTCTCTCCCATCTTTTTTTTTATAACCAGAAGTTTAGCAAGTTCCAAAAACTTACTGGGGTCAATACTCAAGACTGATGGTTTTTTATTTTATCTCATATATTTATTTGAGAGGATATTTTATAAGAATTATTTTTATAAGGATATTTTATACACAACTTTACAATGATGAGATATTATCTGTTTTGGACTTAAGCACTCACGATTTTACCTTTTGTCACCATTCAAAAAGTCTCTCGATCATTGGAGTATATATGTATTTTATACATTATTATTTTCTTCTCTTACTTTATCGATACGAGACTTGTTTGTATCTCAACAAAAACATATCTCAAAACATAAAATACTATTTAGAAATATATTTATATATTACTCATTAACAAAGTTATTACATAAATAGTGGAAATTAAACTCATGTTCTTATGAGTATGTTTTTTTATGAATTGAAGCAAATTTTGTGGGTTAATTTGAGTAGTCTTTGAGTCCTCTCATCTTATGGCCTTGAACATAGGCACATAACCTGAGCGTGTGGTCTCTTCCCATCCAAAATCTCCCCATGCCATGCTGTCTAAATAAAAGGGTTCAATCTCCTTTCAACCACAATAATACCCATCCTTGTATTATCACCCATTGATTGATGCATGCAACTAGGTCATGGTCACAAGAGAAGTAGGCCCCATATATAAGCTTTGAACACAATTTGGTTTGAACAAGTAGCCACTTAAGCTACCACCCAAGTGCTTGAAAATGAAGCATGAGCCCTTGTTTTCTGACTCTAAGTGACCAGACATACACATGGTACACAGCCATCAAACTACATCAATTTAGAAGTGTTCAGTAAGTGACCTCTTATGCTTTGACTTAAGTACATTCTCTCTCTCTCTCTCTCTCTCACATGACTGAGATATGTAACTTGAGGTTTCCCTGGGTTAGAGGAAAAAGGGCACATCTAAATAATGAAGGGAACACTGTTCCCTAGTTGGATTGGAAATGGGACTGCATGAGGTCCTATGAATCATGACTCGTGACTGTACAAATGAGGGGCACCGCAAGCAATAATTTCATTTTATGAGGCGTGAAGGGTGACAGGGATTCAATGAAACCATTTTAATAAATAAATGAAAAATGTTAGGTACATGGCCACAAGAATCCTATACAACACACTATCATGCTTAAATTAGGGTTTAAGATGATTATATATAAATCATAAAATCCTAATCAATATTTAACTTAATTATATATATTCGAGACTCAAACATAAAATTATTAAATTGACCTAATAATAAAGGATTAGAGTAGTATAACTTTTATAGATATAAAGAAAATGTCAAACTACTAATTAAAATATCAACTCTTCTAAATAAAACTTCTTTAATGTCGTTAATGTTTCATTTTGTTCTTAAGACCTCTAATAGTGATGAAATGTTCTTTTTCTTATGTGTTACTTGATAATTGGACAACAGATTCTAAATAAATAATATTTATTGAAACTCATAAACTAATAATGAAATTTGTTAATATCTTTGAGTAAATTGTACTTCTTCTTTTTCATAATAAGTGTCATCTTATACTATTCTACATAATTAAGAAAAATTAATAAATAGAAAAAAGAATAATATTTTTACAAATTAATCTTTTTTTTTTTATAGAAATTACACAATACAATAATCATTTTCTAAATAATATTATTAAGAATATAAATAAAAAATATCATTAATATTATATTAATTAATATAATACTTATTTTAAAACTTATTCTTTTTCTAATACAACACTTAATATGAGACATAGTTGAGTTAATAATGAAAGTTTGTTAAAAATATATTATGAAGACCCTTTGAAGTTTCTCCAATGTAGCGAGAAGATTAGTCAGTATTATTAGCGGGGTGAATACTCCAAGGATAAAAAAAAAAAAAAAAATCCCTCTTAAAGAATAATGTGGCAAAGCAAAATGTCCCCACCCGATGATAATTGGAAATGATGTTGGAATTAGGATGGATTCTTTTGATGATCCATCAATCTGCTGGAACGTCCTGTGCGGCTGTGCCACATGCAACTTTCAAATTCCTCTCTTTTTCCTTGAGATGTGCTATTTGCAACCCAACATACAGTTTAATTATAATCGCACCAAGCCCACTTTTATCTTTTACACCATTCTAGTATGAAAAAGTCGTCTGTCAAATTATTCTTTCTTGTCATTTTTCTCCCACAGGATACTAAACTCAATCATTAATACTATGAGTAACGTTACTAGAACAACTCTTGATGTTATCTCTCTTGCACGCAACATCTTTAAAATTAAATCCATAATTCAATTCATAGACACTAATTTACAATTTATCGATCGGTTCAATAATCATATTATATGTTTTATAATATAAAAAAATCATAATAAATAATCACATAAAAGCAATTTAAATGTAGAACTTACATAGAGCCTTTATTCATTTTGAAAAAAGTGTTTTAGAATTAAAATATTTTTTAAAAATAAAACTGATATATTAAAATAAATTAATTAATTAAATAAAAACTGCACCTGTATGTATGCAAATTGCAAGACTGACCCAAGGATAAGGTTGTTAAAACTTAACTTTAAACTCACCAACAAAAAAAATGTTTATTATTAAATTCTATAAAGTAAAAAGACCATATATATTGTCAAAAAGGCTTCATATATTTGGGAAAATTATCCTTATTTATTTTACAGAAAAACTTGACATATATTTTTTTATTTAAAGATTTTTTTTTTTTCTTAAAATTTACTTTAGACCTCGTGTATTATTAGATCGGTCTCATGTATTATTGGGTCAGTCCGACAAGTTGTCAACATTTTATCCGAAACAAATTACATAAACACAGTTTCTTAAGATTGCACATGACTTGCATTTTTAACATTTACAGCAATCCTACTTACACTGGGTACACAATGTAAAGTGTTTCTTGAATGATAGAATATGTCATGGCAATGTATCTCAAATAATTAAGAAAAGTTAATATAAGTAAAATATGAGAAATTTTGAAGAAAGTTTAGTTTAGGGGTGTTAATGTAATTTACACTTTTTTGTATGTGCCCTTCTAGTACACATACACATAGACTAATAAAATAAAACCCTGCCTCTATCGCATAAATGTAATGGCATAACTACAGGTCATGTGTTAGGCCCATTTCTGAACAATTGCATTATGGTCTTGCTATTTGCAGATCAACACATGTTGCTCCATTCAAGCACAGAACCATGTGCTGTGCCAGAACAGAAGACTCCCACTGGACTACCATATAAAATTCAGGGTGCATTTATTATCTGAAAATACCATTTCCAAACTTCGAAAAGACTAAACATGGTACTAAAGCATGAGAAACAAATGTGGATCAGATCTCCAAAGTGTTACTTAAACATGTCTACCATGATTTTGACAATTCATTTGTCAGGTCCTCTACCAAACCTCCTGTTTCCAAATTTCCATGCATTAAGATACTTGAAAGAACTTATATTCTCACAAGAAAAATGTTTACTTACGAACATTTGCTTAATATGATTAGATATTAGTCTGAATGAACGCCAAATAAATCTAGATAGTTTTAGTATCAAATGGAAATGTATGCTAATAACAAGATTCTCAGGTATGGCAGCATTCGAATTTAAACTTGTGTAAGTAGCATGACTCATTCACTCTTTCAAAATTAGCATCAAGTATCAACCGTTTGTGTTTATGTTTGTTTAGTTTTTGGTCGGGGCATGCATTATTTACTAGTACGGATTTTGCAGCAATTCATCATTCTCATCTAATATGAAATTGAATGAAGGTGCACTAGAGACTACACAATGTGACCCCATTACTATATCTTGAAAGTAAGATAAATCAATTCTAAATTTAGTAGGAGTGAATAATTAAAATTTAGAATGAGATTGTTTCCATAGTCAATGTTAGCATAGATCTCCAAATTTACAAATTATTTCTGATAACTAATTGTAACTCACAAGGGTAGACAAACATAAGTACATTTTGAATGCAAAGTGCTTAGTATATCTTCCCCATATGCACGGTACATACTAACATTGCTTAAAAATAAGCAACATCGTTTAAAATATAAATCACTACCACATAAAAATAAATATTATTTATTATATTTAATTATAATAATTACATTAATTTTTAAAGTTGTCAATAGATGAAGTGTAAATAAAAAAAATTTATAAAAGTGAAACAATTTTTTAATAAATTACTTATAAGAACCATCATAGGAGATGTTCTAATAAATGAGAGGGGTAAAATCTGATGATAGATTAGTTACATATCAATTCTTACGTTTCACTAAAACTAGCACATACAAAACCAAGTCCTCCAAGTGAAGGTCTGTCAATGTTAATATATAACTTAAGACAGGAATTAATATGCATAGGTTTTACATCATTGGGATTGAAGAGCACTGTTTACAACGAATTGCTTTTCAAGTGTCTTAAAATAACCTAAAAATCTGGATTTTTTATTCCTTTCAAGTATGTTGTGTTGTTAGGAGCTAGGTAGTCAACATTGCTGGGCTTTTATTTTTTTTTTTTTTTGGGGGGGGGGGGTGGTGAGCAAGAAGAAATTTAGTGTGCGTGACATGACATACAGGAATATACAGAAGATTAACTCAAGGAGACCTTAGATACTGACGCCATTCTTCAGGTGTTCCCTTTCTTATTGTCAGCATTCTTAGAGCTGCGGCAGTTAGAGGTATGGCAAGAATGTCATAGTCCTTTGGGACCTGAATTACAAGAGATCGTGAAAAAGGAAACATTAATACGCATTAGTATGTTGAAATAGGTAGTATGTCTCAATTAAACAACGTAATTGGAACTTGGAAGCTTGACATTGGCAACCCCTTCTCAGTAGCCATCATGTTGCTCTTTTCATCCATCATAGGAATAAAGCATATATGTTGTAGTTAGATAATAAATAAGTAGGTGATACCTTTGGGGCCTTGATCAACTTCATTTTAGCTTCCTCTAAAGTTTTTTTACCCTTTTTGCAGTTGCATTTGGCACAAGCAGTCACCTGTCATCAACAAATACAGTATATGAGTTCCAGATCAAGTGAAAGGTTAAAAGTTAACATGTGAAAAGCAGGCGTGCAGGCTTTAATTAAACTCACTCACAAAAACCCTCCCTCCCTCGTCATTCAATTAGACTTAGCCAGAAGAAACTCTTTTTTGCAACTAGGTAGGTTTTCACTTGGTGCCCCTCCTCTTGACAATGATGGTAGGAAAGTGAAATGCACAGGATACTAATTATAATCTATAATCTAGAATTGAAATCAAAGTGAATACCCATATGCATTCTTAATGGCCAAGTTAACTTCTGTTTGGATATAATTCATTCATTTAATCATGTTCATAGCAAAATTGTTTTAAAAACTAAATCAGTCATCAAACTAGTTAGGATGTTAGGCCAATAGGTAAAAGATTGAACTAATTGGTCATTAATTGAATTGTATGACCCAATTTTTATTAATTTTCCTAAAAAATATTCATATATATTTTATACTTATAAATTTTATATAAAATTATCTTATTTAAAATTATCTTTATTCTTATTTTTGTAAAAAGAAATACATGAAAAAGTTGCATGTTAAACTATACAAATTAATTCAAATTAAAAATATAAATAATATGTATATATCTATACTAATATATAAAGGGAATACCCTTTTAAGTAACTACCTTGATCTCCACTTTTTTTTTTACCATTATATCTTTTTATTTTAAAAAATTAAAAAATATTTTTTAATCAAATTTAAGAAATTGAAACTAATGAATCTATACTAATATATAAAGGAGATACTACTTTCAATAACTACTTTTGGTTTTCATTTTTACATAGATCATTTTATCTTTTGTTTAATTTTCAATAATTACCTTTTTATGAGTAATTTCTCATTTTTTTCCTTTTTTATTTATTTTTTTTTCTTTTAATACAATGCAGGCACGAAGTGCCTTTTTCCTGCTAGTATAAATATAATATACTTGTAATTGATATCACAAAATAATATATATAATACCTGCATATATATTATATTATTAAATATATAATTTAAAATTGATAATATACTTTAAATTTTATTTAAGTTGTACATATTACAGACAAATGCACAGAATAGGTGATTATTGCAGTGCCTAATAAGGCTCTTCATGCTCCCATGAGCAGGATTTGATTCCCTTATATTGTGTTTTTCTTTGAATTTCTTTTAAAAAGTAATAGACAACCATCTTTGTGGTTGGACTGGTTTGATCCACTAGTTCATTGGTTGAACCAAAAAACTGACCGATTTGCTCCGACTTGAAACGAGTCAAATACATGAACAATTCAACTCAAGGTTCGGACCGGTTGGACTGCATGCTCCTGGTTCAACTGGTCCGACCAACTAGTCCGAGCCAATTTTCAAAAACACTGCACAGAAGCATTCTATTCCTGCTATGCCTAAACTTAATTGAGCTTTCCGGTTAGCTCAAAGTCAAATAAGTACTGTCAATTAGGGAATTAGTCATTATTATTGTTTCCTAATTATAAGGTATATTATATATTAGGAATAGGAATCACGCCATTTATTGTATATAATTAGACTTCCTAATTAGGTTATACAAAATAGGAATTAGATTTAGAAATGTTGTGTAATTAATGGCTAAAAATGAATCTGTACTATTTATGAATGGGAACAAAATCAAAGTAATAAACAATTGACAATTTCATGACATGGTATCAGAGCCTATTGTACATCTTTGCGTATCAGCTATTCCAGTGGACATTGCCTATTTTGGCAAGCCTTTGTAGAGGGAGTATGTTAGAAAGTCTCACATTGCTTGCTTAGTATTAAGATGAAATCTAACAAGGTATAGATTGGGTGCTTCTATCCTTCCATGACAAACACTAAATGCTACTTTGGAAATGAAAGTGTAACAATAGGACCCCGTAAAATGATATTTTAGGATAACATGTCCAAGAAGAAACAAATGGCAACCAATGAGTCACTCATTTTATCATCTTCATTAAATTTATCTTTAGCTATTTTGTGTACAGAAATACTTCTTGAGGCCAAACTAGGACATGCAATTTACAAACTAATCCGGACTCCCCTCCCTTGAGCTACAAACCCTGAAAGCTACTCCATATAAACCTCTTTAACTAAGCTACTATGTCCAAAGGCATTCTCGATATCCAACTGATATAGAGGTCCGCAATATGTAGCTTCTATGGATAAGAAAAGCTGAACAAAAGCCATTTTTTAATAATAGGGGAGAAAATGTCTCCATAATGAGTGCTGAAAATCCAAGTATAGCCATCAACAACCAAACGAGCTTACAAATGATCACCTTTTCATCAGGACCTACTTTGAAAGTGAGAAGAGAATCTATTAGTATATTAATAGCTACATCTATTAATTCTACTGACAGATGTCAAAGTTAGTTACGGGTACTCGTGTTAAAGTAAGTTGTACCATTCATTGAGATTAATGGGTTTTTTCACCTTTTGCCTCTACAATCTGAAATCCTGATATAGTATTAGAGTCCATCATAGATCCATTAATGGGCACTTACCATATTATCCATGCACCAACCTCAATAGTTCTGGACAATTCTCACTTTATAAATTGATTTTGTAAAGTTGAGTTAGACTCAATCTTACATTCGAAGAAAGTATTAATATCTTTATAGAACCCATTGACAACCAACCATAGATTTCCAAATTTCCCTAGAGGATAGGGAGCCAATCTCCATGTATGATTTGATTCTATGGTCATCATCTCATCAATCATTCTATCACTATCCTGTATAAGAAAATAGGGGTGAGCATGACACAATCTGGCCAACTAACCCGATCCAACTCGAGATTGATTTCGATGGATTCAGGTCTTGAATTTAGACTCAATGTATTTTCATAATGAGTTCAGGTTAGGGTTATGCTATGGGTCATCATTTGATATCCTATATTCTATTAAAAAGTAAATTTTTTTTAACTATTAATAAGACTCTTTGATTTAATAAATAATATTTTGTATAACATGACATTATATTTATAATTATGTTGTTTATTTTCAAATATATATTGTAAAATATATCTTAATTAAGTTTGATATAATTTATTCTACAATTTAACTATACATAATGTTAATATTGATGTAGAAAAGTCAGATTAATTCTATCTTGTCCCATATATTTCAGGTCTTGATTGGGTTTAGAAAAATGGCCCAATCATAAAATCAGGTCGGGTAATGACAAGTGTAAACCAGTCCCTTATTCATCCCTATGAGAAAGTGCTTCCTAGATAGATTTACGAATAGAAATACACCACAATGCAATGGTAAAAGCATAACGTGATAGAGACAAACAACAATAATCAAGAAATTATAAATGGGATGAGGATTACAAGAAGAATGAATACATTTAAAACTGCAACAAGTCTAAGGGAGATTTGGGAGGGACTGCAGTAGGTGAAGATACAAAAGCAAGAGATGAATCATTCACCTCCAGAACAAGGTCAACTTCTAGAGCATATGACGTGGACAAAACTGATAAGTAACAACTAACAAGTTAGCAAGAAAAAAACTATTGTGGTTGGAAAGAAGTTATTGATTCTAAGGATACAATATGAGGATTAACAATTGGATTGTTCAGGTAAGACTTTAGAGAAATTGAATCTAGTTCCACCTATATAGAGAAGAAGGGTGTGTCTTCAACATAGGTGACACTAGCATAAATGAAGAAATGATTTGTAGAAGAGTAAGATTAGACATGTATAATGCACTTGAGATACTAAAAAAGAAGATGCATTTGGTAGCACAACACAAGCATATAAAATAACATATCTTTACCTAGAGAAAGATCATGCACTAAAGTACAACCAAACACAGGATGAATTTTATAAAGAGATTATTTGGAAACAAGAAAGAATGAGCAATTTGGTCATTTAAACCAAAGACAGAATGCAATTTATCAAATCAATTGGTAAAAGAATAACGCCCCGCCCCAAAAACAGAGGAATGTCAGGTAGGTGACGGTTTTCTTTTTGCAATGCCATTTTTTTGGGATGAATTAGGACATAAAATACTATAGAAAGACATAAAAGAATTAAAGACGAAGAACAATACTATTGAATTGTCACTAAATAAAATATGCATAGTTCAATCAAATTGGGAATGAATATTAGAACACAAATATTGAAAAAACCAATTATTTCAGAATGATTTTTCATTAAAAATATCCAAATTCATCTTGAGAAATCATCAATGAAAGAAAATACCTATAATAATATAATTAACAAAATTAGGACCCCAACCAATTGAATGAACAATATAAGAGGGAGGATCTAACTGATTATCATCCTTTCTTCGGAAAGTAGCCAAAACATGTTTCCCAAGCTGACAAGACTCACATTCAAAATATTGTAAATGGGAGAGATGAGGAAACATCTTTTTAAATTTTATACTTTAGGCAACCTAAACAACCGTGAAGGTTAGGAGATTTAAAATAGCCCCTATAGTAGATGGTGGAGGTTGAAGATAGTAGAATCTGTGTGATTCAAAAACTATACCAATTGTCTTTCTAGTTCTCCAATTCTGCATATGAAAAAGACTCAGTAAAAAAGGTTATAGAGACTTTTAGTAAGTTGACTTACAGAAATTAAGTTCATAGGGCAACTTAGAGCAAAACAAAGCATATCCCAAGTCAGTGAGAGAAGAGGTACAGCTTGACCAATTCCAATGGTTTTAGCCTTTGAACCATCACTTAGGGTGATGAAATGAGGAAGTTTGATGATGACAAATTTGAGAAAAGAGAAGGATTACTAACACTATGATCAAAAGCACCAGAATCCAACATCAATAATCCAACTGGCATAGAATGAGAGAAAAGTTGAAGAACTACCTGTACAGACTACAGCAATTGAATATAATCTTGATCAGGCTGCTTTAAATTGAAAGCATTCCTTCTATTCATTATCTAACAGAACGTTGAAGGAATCAAAGGTTGGCCCGAAAGTGGTTAGGATGTAGTCAACAATTGTAATGAAATAGGAGCAGCAGAATAGACATAACAAGGACATACATGAACAATCAAGACTTGAACAATGACGGGACCAATAACTCACTATCCAAAGAGAATAGCAAACAATGAAATGAACAGAGAATGGATCGAGAAAAACAGCCACTGGAAAGCACCTGACAAACAGTGCACAAACAATACAGTGAATAATGCTTCCACAAAAACTATTTGGAACAAAGAAAACAGCAGAGATGAATTATGGTGATAAAGACTTTAAAGGAGCCCATAAATTCCCAGAAGAGACAGTAAATGAGGCCAAGTCCAAGGAACAATGAATGTGGAACTCGGCAAAGGCCGGATGCATGCGCAGCAATGAAAGGATTCACCCAGTCTGGTACCAACTTATAATTCTAAGGAAGTTGAAAATATTTGGGAGAATACATGGCTGAAATCTGCTTGAGTGAAAAACACACTCAGCCTAGGAATATATACAGAATAATTACATAGAAAAAATAAATACAAGATGCAATTTACAAGAAAGAATAATAAAGCTAATATTTCTAACTGTATTCTTTAAGTAATAATGAATCTTGGCAACATAGAAAGTGGATCATGTTTATTATAATGTAGTTTCGACAGAATTTTCTATATGCATAAAAGATTATCTTACTAGATTTTCCCATGTCCATTCTCCACCTAGTGCAGCGGGCAAAACGTGATCAATGGTCAAATTCTCACGTGAACAGCAATACCTGTTGAGAAGGCAATATCATATCAGTGCATGGATTTGTATCTCAATTCTCAACTAACTTAATTACTTAAAAAGGCAAGATCACCATTGCATCCTTTTACTCGATTCTGTTGCTGGTTTGTGTCATAACTCATAATTACTCCACAAGCATGATATGCTGAGAAGGGGTTAAATCAATTATATATAGTTCTCCACTGTAGAAGCAACAGACTCATGCTAACTAAGGGCTTCCATAAGGAACAAATAATTCAGACTAGCTTATTCGCATAAATTATGAGGTGAATGAGTCTCTCTGTGCCATAGAGATAAGGGATTTTATATTTGAAACCACCCCAATTCATACTAGCTTATTCTCATAAATTATGAAATGAATCAGTCTTTCTTAGCCATACTAGAGATAAGGGATTTTATATTTGAAACCACCCCCAACCAAAAGCAAAATTCTGTTATATTAAGGTTATAGCTTGTAATTCGATGCTCAGTTCAATAGTTTTATTTTTAAACCAAATGTAAAGGAGGAAGGAGTTCTTTTCTAGGTCTCTTGTCTCCTACACAATGCACAAATGGAGAATTTTTCCTTTTAAAACGAGGGGAAAAAAAAGAAAAAAGAAAATTCTAGGATTTTTCCGGTTAGTTGGGCTTTTGCCAGGAGTCTGAACTTCAGCCTATCACAAAGTTGGTTATACACTGCTTGCCAAGTTTAAAGTCTTGTCCCTGAATAAATTGTTTACTCTTTACACCTTGTATATCATCCATCCACATATACAACACTCTATTTGCAATTCTGATTATACATGATATTAGGAACCAATGATGGAAATAAAGAAAAGCATGATTTTATTGCTTGACTGATCGTGAACAGAACAAAGAGAAAGATCTCTCCTCCATTAGTTTCCCCTTTCACAATTGAGCTAGCCCTTGTTGGGTTCTTTCCAACACAGAATCCTCTCCCAACCCTTATTTCCCCCAATTCATCTATCTAACCAATCCCCTCTAACTGACTAACTAACTATCTTAACTAACTAATTTGTCTTCCCTTTAATCTTCCAAGCAACTATCATTATGTCTTCACTCCTAACACATGATTGAATCTAGGGATGGCAATGGGGCCCCATGGAGGCGGGTAATAGTAAACCTGCCCCCGCCCCGTTGTATGAAAATTGGCCCCATACTCACCCCATATCCACGCGGGTATTCATTAAGCGGGTATCCATGAATTTTTTGAATACCCACGGATATCCATGGATATCCATGGATATTTATCAATTTTTTAAGAAATTAAAAAAATTATATTATAAATAATTTTAAATTTATATTTAATGTCATTGAAATATTAAAAATAAAAATTTAATGTTAATTTTGAATTTGTATTTAACATTAATTCTGTTGAAATAATAATAAAGATGCAAGATAATCAATCACTTAAAATACATCAATCTTACACAAGTATGTGAAAGTCTCATATCACAAAGCTACAATAATTCAATCTCATAATTTCAAACGTAAGTAAACAACTTAAAATACATAAATCTTATTGGTCCAATCAAAGCTATAAAATTAATCAATTTACATCCAACATAATTCTATGGAAAGAAAATAAGATGAGAGTGTAGCTTTAGGGTTATGTGGAACAAGGATAATTAGGATATTTAATAAATATTATTAAACGGGTACCCGCGGGTATGGATATCATCATAACCGCCCCCACCCCATTTATAAACGGGTAAAAAATTATCCGTCCCCATTATCTGCGGGTACCCAATTAGCCTATTTATTATCCGTAGCGGATTTTACCCACAGATACTCGCGGGTACGGGTATTTTTGCCATCCCTAATTGAATCAAGTCCCAGAGCTGTATGATCTTAGTAATATCAGTTCTACAGAAATATAAGACTGCTAAATTTCCTTCAGAAGTAATAATCTTGATTGATTATTCAACCTGGCCTACTGACAACACCAACTAATTAATATATTAAAAAAAGGGGGGTTTCTGTTTGTGGAGTTGATTGATTGAAATTAAACATATTTAGATCTATTAGAAATTAAAGTTCAACATAGAACACTTACTGACAGGTGTAATTGTCCCGAAATAGTATATTTTTCCGACTGAGATTGTTTTTTACTATTCTTCTTTTAACAACCTGAAGTAAATGAGGAACCTGTACAATTTAACAAAATAAAATTAAGTTGAGTGCATCTTTATTTGGAGCAGACAAATAACAAGAAAATTTCCAGCAATAACCGTTGCTTAATATTCATTTTATAATAAAATACAAAACTATACTTGCTGATAGTAAAGTAGAGTCAGTGATTATAAGAATGGTGGCCAAGCACCAGAATTATTAATAAACCAAATTCATGACTATGTGCATACCCTCAAGACAGCTGGTATATAGAAAGATCCACTGGGGGAGTTCACTGTCTTAGCATAATACTCCAGTACATCAGCCTGGAAAAGCGATAATTCAAAACATAATAACCACATTTCAGTGTTTGTTTAAAAAGAAGAAAGAGAAACTCAAAAGTTGTTGCTGGAATCAGTTTTTGTGTTTGTGTCTTGGTATGTGCAAACTGACCATTAGGCCTGGAGAACAAAACAGTTTTTAGATTACACATTGAACCAAAAACCATAAAAATGGAAGCTAAGTTCAGAAATAAACTCTACTTCTGGAAATGATATATGCATTAAGATTAAGACAATAGCAAGTACTACTACCCACCAATACATTATGCAAATGCAATGGCATGGTTTTGTTAAACTTTTCACATATCCATGTCAATCACAAAATGATAAATTACATTAATAACCTAATTGCACAGAATAATTAACATATCAAATGAAAAGGATGAGCAAACATATCTGACCTTCTCCATAAACTCCAAACATATAGCACGTTTCCAGCCTACGACATTTACTGGCCTGGAGCAGGATGACACCATGACAGCAGTCAGAACCATAAGCAAACAACTGAGCAGGTGTCTTGATATTGGTGACTATACAAGAGAAAATAAGTCGTCACAATTTCATACTATTCACACACATTAAACACTGAGGCTATCAAGATACACACTATTTTATCCCTGAAAATTTGATACCAACCAGTAGGAAGCAATTCCATTTCCACCACATAGTTTCAAAAGCATGCATAATTGCCCAACTTCTTATTGGTTTTGGTTCTTATATATATCTTATCTCAATTGAAAAAAAATAAATATGCCATAAAATAGTAACTCAAAGATAAAATACACATATTGAGATCCCACTTCTACTATAGATATGACCAAAGTGGAGATTATAAAGGGTTAGATAATTCTCACCTCATGAGCTACCTTTTAGGGTTGGGTTAAACAAAGTCAAACTCAATATGGTATTAAAATCTATCATAGTCCTGACATTTAAGGGGAATGTGTTGAGATCCAACATTGAATCCTCACCTCATGAGCTAACTTTTGAGGTTGAGTCAAGTCCGCCTCAAGTTAAAGCGGCCAAAAGTGTAAAGTTAAAGAAGTAAGGGATGCATCTAATTGATGGAGAATTATGCATTTATACGATATCAGGCTTCAAGAGCTTTCTCTTTGGTAATAAATCAAACCAATAGTTTCTCATAATTTTTCCATGAGACTCCCCCCCTAATAAAGGAATTATTACCACTCCAAATAGCCCCGATGCATCACAATCAACAACTTATCATGAAACTCCCAAAGCACGAAGTCACGCAGTCTTCCTAGAGTGATACAACAACCCACCAAAAAACTTACTATAAAACCAGCTGGGAAGGTTCAAAACCAATAAAGTACAGAAAAAAGAATTACAAAAGCATCAGAACACCATCAAGTGTAAAACCCCAAATGAATTTTCCCATTCCCTGTAAAACGCACAAATTCAGGAGAAAATCAAGTTACAAATTTCATATCATTGTTGTGTATAGCAATAGTTAAAAATATATAAAACATTGAAACAAAGAAAAAGTGACCTGTAAGCAATGTCTAACACCAAACCCCGGAAGCAAGACAAGCCATCTCGGTCAAACAAATCCTCCTCATCCTCATAAACTTCAACATCATCATCATCATCATCATCCTCATCTTCATCAACATCATATTCATCATGAACACTCCCATTGCCACCACTGGGGCGTGCCTCCGCATTACAACGGTTGGTTTTGCTACTCAGAGATGATGCATAGTATATTCTAGCAGAAAAAGAACCTATGTACCTTGTTCTTCTCTTGTGGGTCTGAACTGATCTGCACTTGTAGAGAAAAGGGTCCTTGTGCTCCAAAATAGAAGACACGCCCTCCCCATTGAAGAGAAGCTTGAGGCGACCCTGCGTAGTGAACTGTGCCATACCCTTCACTTACCTTCGCCTTGAGAGTTGGAAAGCTTGTACCTTTCTTCTCAAACTTTGCTTCAAACACTGAGATATTTGTATTGGTCGATCATTCAACAAGACCCCATTATAGGTGGGAGAGAAAGTTGAAGAACTGAGACATTGATCTTTCCAGGAAAAAAACAAAAAAAATAAATTGGAAATTCATTTGTGCCACGGAAAAAACCGTTACCACACATTATCTCGTGTTCCTAATATCCTGTGTTTAGTCTGAATTTACACATATGCCATTTAAAATTAGATGTACATAGAGCTAAGCAAAAGTATTTCACCATTTTATAGTCAAAGCAAGCAACAATATTAATAATAATATTCGCCTATGTTTAATCTAATTGTATTTCTTATTAAAATTTACTATGAAATTAAATTTTTAAATAAATTAGAAAGTATTTGAAAATTTTTATTCCTCCTAGCTTAAAAAAATATAAAAAAGAATATGAAGTGTGAAAATGAGGAAGTAAAGAGAATAGAGATAAGAAAACGAAAATATTTTCAATAAATTACACTTTCAGTTTTAGTATTTTTTTGAGATTGTAGTCAATATTCTTTCAATATTTGAACTTATAATGAGATATCTTAAAAGTTGAAAAAAGTCACTCATACTCTTGAGTTTTCTTTATTTTAGTGAGTCTCCTTAAAAGTTGAAAAAATGTTACATTCGCACCTCTAGGTTCTCCTTTCATAATAGTGTTTTCTTCAATCTTTGTCACCACCTCATCCTCCTTATCATCATTTTCCTTTCTTTCTAGTACCTTGCTCATATACACCAATTGTCTACAAAGCCTTGATCACAGCTTACTCCTAGCCCAAGCCCAAGAAGCCTAAGAAAATAACCTTCTTTGATAATGCTCCCACCCTCATGCTGCGATGTTGTAGCCATGGCTTTATAATTTTTACGTTGGTTGCAACCATGCCTTTATATAGCTTGCAAGTAACACTCGTAAGTAATAGTTGCAACATTGTGACGTGAGGGTGGAACACTTTTAGAGGAATTTTTTTTTACTTGGGCTTCTTGGTTTTGGACTGAGAGCAAATGTAGTCGAGGTTATGGGGGTAGCTTATGTATATGAGCAAGATACTAGACAGGGAGGAAAAGAAGGAGGAGGATGAGGTGATGGTAGAGCTCGAGGAAGACTCATGGAGGAAGGAAAATCCAAGGGTACAAGTCTAATATTTTTTCAACTTTTAAGCGATCTCATTGTAGGTCCAAATAGTATAAAAATATTGATTGCAATCTTAGGAAAAACATAGAGGGTGCGGGTGTAATTTACTCAAATATTTTTTTAACACCCATGTATGACAAAATTACCCCTTTAATACCCTTTAAAAAATTATTTTCTTTATTTGTCCTCCTACATAGAAAAAATGGAGAAAAAAATAACTAGAAAAGAAGTTATTAAGCGAGGGGAGTGTTATTTCAAAATAGGGTTTGGAAGAGGGAAGTAGAGGGAAAAAATCCAATGTTTTCAAAATCGAATAGTTCATTTGAATCGATTTAGATTCTGATTCAAAGTTAAATGATTTACTTATGGTTGAGTTATAGTTAAATTAATATTAATAAAATAATAATAATAATTATTATTATTATTTTTATTATCAATACAAAAATATTAGATAGATATACTATCATAATTTTAAAATACTAAACATTAAAATAAAATTTTATTAATATATTCTTATCATTTAATTTATATGTAAAATCCTAAACTAAATATAATATAATATTTAAATTTTGATTTTAATAAAATATAACAATATCCATTAATAATAACAAGTTTGCATCTAGAATAAAAAGTATCAAATTAAAAGAATATAAATTATAAAAAAAAATTAAAGATATTAAAGATTACAAATTAACATACATGATTAAATTATATTTATTAGATAGGTATTAAAAATAAGTTATCAATTTATAATTTTTTAAATGTTTTTTTATTAAAATATTTTTAATTAAATTTTAAAAAATAAAATATTAATTGGATAGGTTCAAATTGGTTTGACCGGGATTTTTTATACTAGCTTTGACCGATTTTGGATTAGTTCTACTAGTTTTCATGGGTTCGTTGTGAAATGGTTTTCTAGGCTAGTTGAATGAGTTAAGAACGGATTTTCCAAGTTGAACAACCCACCATAATCACTACACTTAATGTTTCAACTACTAGTAGCGAAAACTAGATACAACTACCCAATATCAACATATAAATAGTTCCTAGAAAACACAAATAATAATACAAATATATGCATAAGGATAAAATCCTCCAAAAATAAAAGTTTCCCAAAGGAATAAGAACATATCTTATACACATAAATATATACAATGATCCAAAAGCAACTGTAAATGTAACTTAGGTTGTCGATCAAGCAACTCTATAAGAATATATAAAGGTAACATCAAGCTACACCACCATCCAACATGGCCCTCAACTTGTCACTCTACTTCCATGTAAACATAATCATTGCAATCCAAAGAAAACATGCAAGGATAAGCTAGTGTGCAAAGAATAATCACACCACAGGTATAAAAGTAAAGACAATTATACTAATCAACTGCATAAACATGTAAATCATACAAGAAGGTAATACCATGGTCTACAACTTAGCACAACAACAAATCACCTCAACATGGAATTCAATATCTTACAAGATAAACAACTTAACAATATATGATAATTCATACACCAATCATAATGCCATTTAACAACCAACATCATACAACATATGAACAACACCAAAATCATCACATCACATGCATAACACCTCAACTACATGCATCGTCATGCATTCACCCTTACAATAAAGGTAAACAGTCTAAGTGATTTTTATTTTACTAAACCAACACAATCTTTTTACGCCTATTAAATTAACAGTCAAATTGGGATATCAATTTCTAACAACATGATTTCTTAAATGATGCTCTTAAACTAGAAAATCTAGTATTCATACCAAGGTAGAATGATATGCATTTGACAAGTATACCAATTGTTGTAAGTAGAAAAATGGACAGAAGCTCAAGTATTGAATCTACAAAGACTTGTGTAACAGCTAATTAATCTAATTTAACATTAATTAGGAAAAATAAAAATAGATTTATTTAATGAATGCAATAAAGATAAAAGAACATATTTTTAAAGATTTAGTATAATAAAAAGATTGAAAAAATAATTAAAATTTTATAATAAAATATGTTAAGGATTGATTTTACTAACCTTCCTCATACATATCCTTCCCAATTATTATTCAATTTCAGCAATTATCAAGTTAATACAACAACCAATGAAATCGTAATTCCTTAGGTGAGAAATTCTAAGTTACTTATGAAAAATCTCAATTCCTTGATAAAGTTTGTTAAGCAACCTGCATTAAGATCGGAGGTTTAAAATGTTGATTGATAAGACTTATCTTATTCCTAGCTAGTGATTATTAGTGTTATTCTTCGAATCATAGTTTCAAAAGAGTTTCCCAACCTCAATTAAAACCCATGAGATCATGCATTGGGTGATCAAGTCAAATTAAACATTAAGAATAAAAGAAAATAATTAACTGAATAAAATATTTATTGAATAAGAATAGGAAGAATTACATGGAGTAGAGTTAGCTACATCAATCTCCAACAACGACTCCATTTATTCTCTCAAATCTCTCTAAAATATAATATGTAGAGTGTTTTTTTATTCTTTCGAAACCCTATTTTTATAAGATTTTAAATGGATTTTTTTTTCTTCCAATTAGGCTTGTAATGTTCACTCATTCAAGGTACTTAGATGGCTCTTGAGCTCTTCATAGTTCTTTAGGGATATCTTCTAAGTTGGCTCACTTAAAGTGTGTTTTCCTTTTGCTTTGACCAAGTGGTTCTAATGTACAACTTCTTTGACATTAGATCCTTCCTACTTGTATCTCAAAAATTAAAAAAAAAAAATCGAAAACACCTAAAACTAAAAGAACTCTACTAATTAACAAGGTAAAATTAAAATACTAATTTTTGACAAAAATAGGACCTAAAGCATAATATATGCTCAAATAAATTTCTAAATTGTATAAAAGATATATTGACATATTTGGAAACTATCATAGAACATCTTAGGTATGAGTCTACCATAATATCAACTTGTAACCCTAAGCTCCCTATAAGATTAGTCCATCGACTACCATCTAAACACTATACCCTTTCAATACGTAATTTGGGGCTAAGCCTCCGACTGTATACCTTGATCAATTGGTCACTTTATACATGTATGGATCGACCTTACCCACATACAAATCAACATTGATCACCTATAGCTGATATGCCATGACTTAGTCCATATATCGCATTAACTAAGACCTAGAGAAAACTCAGCTATCCACTAATAGTTAACTACTCAAAAAGTGTTTTTTAATAACTGAACTCATAAAGCACCACATATAACCACACAATGGGAAATCCAACTTTCGAAGACACCTTTTCTAATCCTAAGTCAATCAACATAACATGCCTAAATAGTTAAAACATTCTTAACATCAACATCTTAACATTCAACAATTTATCACTATATCATGCCTAAATGTGTAAATCATTCTAAACCACTACAAGAAAAATAAAAAATAGCGACCAAAGTTTATCGGTCGCTATTTTGCGACCGAATTAGCGACCGACTATAATAGCGACCAATTTAGCGACCGAAATTTTTCAATCGCTATTTTGCGACCGAATTAGCGATATTAGAGTGGTAGCGAGAAAATCGGTCGCTAAATCGGTCGCTGTTTTATTGTGTTTCATGAAAACATAGTTTGCGACGGAATTAGCGACTAATTTTGAATAAATTATCAAAAAATTGCGACCGAATTGAATTCGGTCGCTAATCCAAAACTATTGAATTTTTTAGCGACTGATTAGATTTCGGTAGCTAAAATATACAAAGCAAATTTTCATAGCGACGGTTTTTTTCGGTCGCAAAATATAATTTAAACTTAGCGACCGAATCTGAATCGGTCGCTAATTTTATTTATTTATTTTTATTACAATTTCAATTGAAACTAATGTTACCACTATTAAAATGTCAACATTAGGTCTCGATCCTTGAGCGTGTGGGTTGTGGGCCAACCATGCTACCACTATGCCACATTACCTAAAGAGACTTGTTGTGAAAAAAATACTTGGATAGTTGC